GTGCAGTGCTAACATCTTGGCTCACTGCAACCTCTGCCTGCCAGGTTCAAGCAATTCTGCCCCAGCCTCCCAAGTAGCTGTGACTACAGCCATGCACCACCACACATGGCCAATTTTTGTGTTTTTAGTAGAGATGGAGTTTCACCATGTTGGTCAGGCTGGTCTCGAACTCCTGACCTCAGGTGATCCACCCTCCTTGGCCTCCCAAAGTGCTGAGATTACAGATGTGAGCCACCAGGCCCAGCAGCTGAAGTCCTTTTAAGATCCCTTGCAGTTTTCTGCATAGCCTATCATTTCATCTGCAAATAGGGACAGTTTTATTTTTTCTAGTGTATATGCCTTTGATTTCTTTTCTTGCTTTATTGCACTTACTGTAGGAACTTTTAGCACTAGGTTTGAATCAGAGTGACAGTGGACACCTTGCCTGGTTTCTAATCTTTGAAAGCCTTCTTACCATTAAGTTTAGAAGTAGGTTTTTGTAGATGTTCTTTATCAGGCTGATAAAATTTTCTCTATTCCTACTTTTCTGATCTTTTTAATCATGAATAGGTGTTGAATTTTGTCCGATACTTTCTCTGCATTGATATGGTAGTGACTGCTTTCCCTTTAGTCTGTTAATTTGGTGGATTAACCAACCTTGCGTTCCTGAAATGAACTCCACTTGGTCATGGTATATAATAATTTTTATATATTGCTGAGTTTTATCTGGTAAAACTTTTATAAGGATTTTTACATATGTTTTCATGAGAGATTTTGGTCTGTAATTTTCTTTTATACTGTCTTTGCGTGGTTTGAATATCAAAGCAATATTAGTTTCATAAAATGAATTGGAACGTGTTCCCACTTGTGTTTGCTGGAAGAGAGATTGTATAGAATTGGTGTTAATTCTTCTCTAAACATTTGGTAGAATTCTCCAATGAAAACCATCTGGACCTAGAAATTTCTTTTGGGGGAGTTTTAAAACTATGATTCAATTTCTTTAGTATTTATAATTAAGGTCTATTCAAATTGCCTATTTCATATTGTATTTGTGTTTAGGAGTTTGTTTATTTGGTCTTCGTTGTCAAATTTATGTGTACAGAAATGTCCTAAGTATTAATGTTGGTGTGGTCTGTAGTAATGTTCCTTGTTTTATTCACGATATTGGTAATTTGTCTTGTCTTTATTGTCTGTCTTGCTACAGGTTTGTCAGTTTTATTGATCTTTCCAAAGAAATCAGTCTTTGTTTCATTTTTTTCCCTCTGTCTTTAATTTAATTGATTTCTGCTTTTATCTTCATTGTCTCTTCTGCTTTTGGGCGTTTTTTGTTGTTGTGTTTTTTTTTGTTGTTGTTTTTTTGTTTTTTTTGTCATTTGGGTTTTTCATGTGTGGGGGTGGGGTTCTTTTTTTTTCCTCAAGAAATTAATAAAAAAAAAGAAAAGAGGGGGGGAGATAGTGAAGGAAAAGGAGGAAGGGAAAAGGAAAGGAAAAAGGAAGAAAAGAAGGAAAGAAGGAAGTCGAGTTTCTTGTGTTCAAGGGGAGTGGGGTTTTTTTGTTTGGTTTGGTTTTTTTTGTTTTTTAAAGACAAGGTCTCCCTCTGTTACCCAGGCTGCAGTATAGTGGCATAGTCATAGCTCACTATAGCCTTGTACTCCTAGACTCAAACTATCCCCCCTGCTGAGCCTCCTGGAGTAATTGAGTCTACAGATGTGTGCCACCACACCTGGCTAATTTTTTTTTTTTTTTTTGGTAGAGATGGGGGTCTTGCTGTGTTGCCAGACTGATGATCTTAAACTCCTGACCTCAAGTGGTCCTCCCACCTTGGTTTCCCAATGCGCTGGGATTGCAGGCATGAGTTGCCCTGCCTAGGCCCAGTGTATCTTTTATTTATCTCAAAACTTCATCTTTAACTCTTGTTTTATTTAGAAACGTATGTTTTAGTTTCTAGGTGTTTGAAGATTATTTGTATTCTTTCTGCTACTGATTTCTAGTTTGAGTCTATTGTGGTCAGAGAACACCCTCTGGACCACATCAGTTCTTTTACATTTGTTGAGGTTTCTTTTGTGATTCAGGATATGGTCTTAGTATATATTATCTTGGCACTTGAAAAGAATGTGCCTTGTCTGTCTGTCGTTGGGTCAGACGACCTATAAATAAATATCTAATAGCTCTTGTTGTTTGGTGATGTTGAGTTCTGTACTCTTGCTGATTTTATATCTGGTTATATCAAATGTTGAGAAAGATATTGAAATATCTAACTATAATCCTGGGTTGTTTATTTTCAATTCAGTTATGCTTCTCATTTTGCAGCTCTGGTTCATGGATATTTAGGATTGCTGTGTCTTACTGGGTTGGGTTGACTCTTCTGTCATTATAATATCCTCCTCTCTGGTAATTTTCTTCCCCTGTGTTCTGTTTTATCTGATATTAATACAGCCACTCATATTTTCTAAACATTTACATACTTTTCCATGTTTTTACTTTCAGTCTGTCTATATTATGCATAAAATGAGTTTCTTATAGGCACCATGTATTTGGGTAATGTTTTTTTTTTTTTAATTCACTAGGATAGTTTCTTTCAGTTGGTATATTTAGACCATTTACATTTGATGTAACTGATACTTGAGAGTTGATGCCATTTTTGTTTTCTGTTCTGTTTTTTTCTTTTTCCTCACTTTTTGTGGGTTATTCGTATACTTTTTGTAATTCTATTTTGACTTTTATCCTGTGTTTTCAAGTGTGTATCTTTGTATGTTTTTTTCAGTCATTGCTCTACATACTACATTATGTCTACACAACTTATGACAGTCGTCATTTTACCCATCTGAGTATATTGTAAACACCTTACCTCCCCTTAGATTCCTTTACTTTCACCCACTTATGTCTTACATACTCTATTTCACAGATTGAGAACTCCTTCAGACAGTTTTATCATTTTTGCTTGAACTCTCAAACATAATTTAGAACACTTGATAGGAAAAAGTACTTAATATGTTTTGTGTAGGTATCAGGTCTTGAACTCCTGAGCTCAAACAGTCCTCCCACCTCAGACTCACAGTGTTGGGATTACAGGTGTGAGCCACTGCACCAGGCCTGTTGTGTTTGTCTTCTCTATTTCTGCCTTTGTCATTTCTTTTCTGTTTTGAGAACTTCCTTAAGCCATCCTTTTAGGATAAAGCTACTGGTAACAAATTCTCTTACTTTTCTTTCATCTGAAAGTCTTGATTTCCCTTTCATTCCAGAAGGATATTTTCCTTGGATAAGTTTCTCAGATAACAGTTTTTTTCTTTTAGAACTTGAAAAATGTTTTGTCACTTTCTTCTGGCCTCCATGGTCTCTAATGAGAAATCGTGGCCGGGTGCGGTGGCTCATGCCTGTAATCCCAGCACTTTGGGAGGCTGAAGCAGGTGGATCACGAGGTCAAGAGATCGAGACCATCCTTGCCAACATGGTGAAACCCCGTCTCTACTAAAAAGTATAAAAATTAGCCAGGCGTGGTGGTGCATGCTTGTAGTCCCAGCTACTCAGGAGGCTGAGGCAGGAGAATTGCTTGAAACCGGAAAACGGAAGTTGCAGTGAGCCGAGATCGTGCCACGACACTCCAGCCTGGCGATAGAGCGAGACTCTGTCTCAAAAAAAGAAAAAGAGAAATCTTGTCTTTTTAAACTCCCTCTCAACCCCATGCAAGTAAGGAATTATATTCCTCTTTCTGCTTCCAAGCTTTTAATTTTCAGAAGTTTAAGATGTGTCTTGGTATTTAGTCTAAGTTGATTCTGGGGCTCACTCAGCTTCTTGAATTAGTAGATTTATATCTCCTGCCAAATTTGGAAGTTTTCAGCAGTCTTTTTTTTTTTTAAACTAGACAGTTTGCACTTGTTGCCCAGGCTGGAGTACAGTGGCATGATCTGCAACCTCTGCCTCCATGTTCAAGTGATTCTCCTGCCTCAGTTTCCCAAGTAGTTGGGACTACAAATGCCTGTCACCACACCTGGCTAATTTTTTTTTTTTGAGATGGAGTCTTGCTCTGTCACCCAGGCTGGAGTGCGATGGTATGATCTCGGCTCACTGCAACCTCCATCTCTCAGGTTCAAGTGATTTTCCTGCCTCAGTCTCCTGAGTAACTGGACAACAGGCACATGCCACCATGGCTGGCTAATTTTTTTTTTTTTTTTCTGAGACACACTCTCACTCTGTCGCCCAGGCTGGAGTGCAATGTCACGATCATGGCTCACTGCAACCTCTGCCCCCCAGGTTCAAGTGATTCTCCTGCCTCAGCCTCCTGAGGAGCTGGGATTACAGGTCTGTGCCACCACACCCAGCTAATTTTTATATTTTTAGTAGAGATGGGGTTTTACGATGTTAGCCAGTGGTCTCGATCTCCTGGCTTTGTGATCTGCCCACCTCAGCCTCCCAAAGTGTTGGGATTACAGGCGTGAGCCACCGTGCCTGGCCATTTTTTGTATTTTTAATAGAGATGGGATTTCACCCTGTTGGCCAGGCTGGTCTTGAACTCCTAACCTCAGATGATCTGCCCACCTTGGCATCCCAAAGTGCTGGGATTACAGGGTGAGCCACTGCGCCCGGCCTCAGCAGTCATTTTTTGAGTACTTCTCAGCCCTACCTTCTTTCTCCTTTCTGAAGACATGAATAATCTTTTATTGTCCCACAGGTTCCTGGGACTGTTCATTTATATATTTTCACTCTGTTGTTCAGATCAGGTGTTTCTGTCTTCAAGTTCACTGATTCTTTCCTCTTTTCCCTCCATTATGCTGGTGAGCCTGCTATTGTGTTTTTTATTTTGGTTATACTTTTCAGTTTAAAAATTTGCATTTGGTTCTTTGTCTTTTATTTCTTTAGGGAGACTCCCTATTCGTTTGTTTCAAGTGTTTTCATAATTACTTGCTACTGTATTGATGACAGCCTTAAAATCTTTATAGATAAATGAACGTGTCTGTCATCTTGATGTTGGCCTCTTGATTTTTTTTTTCTTCCGGCAATTGGTTGTGATCTTCCTGATTTTTGGAGCAGTAAGTTATTTTCTATTGAATGCTATTGGAACTGGGATATCTTGGATATTATGAGACTCTTTTTTTTTTTTTTTTTTTTTGATAGAGTAACTTGCTCTGTTGCCCAAGCTGGAGTGTAGTGGCATGATCTCAGCTCTCACTGCAACCTCTGCCTCCTGGGTTCAAGCAATCCTCATGCCTCAGCCTCCTGAGTACCTGGGATTACGGGCACGTGCCACCAAACCCAGCTAATTTTTATATTATCAGTAGAGCAAGGTTGCACCGTGTTGGCCAGACTGTTCTTAAACTCGTGGCCTCAAGACATCTGCCCGCCTCAGCCTCCCAAAGTGCTGGGATTACAGGCATGACCCACCATACCCAGCCTCTGTATCTTAAACTTTTAGTTTTAGCTGGCTTCCTCTGACACTGCTCTGGCTGCTAGGTTGTTACTGCCAGGTGGGGGGGTAGCTGTCCAGTTTCCCAACTCAGCCTCTCATATTCAACTGGGGAGCTCTTCTTTCTGTCAGGAGAGGATAGAAGTTCTAGCTTCACAGGATGCCTCAACTGATTGCTTTCTGGCTGACAGTGGTGAGCACCTCATAACAGCTCCCCGTCGGGTCTCTAGTGACCCAGTGGAGAGTAGGCCGACTGAGGGAGAAGAGGGTATTAGGAGGCACTAGTTACCATTGAATGGTGGTAGAAAGTCCTGACTCTCTACCAGGCCTTTTCTGACTCCACATTGGTGGGGGTCGGGGCACCTCATTGCTGCCAGGTAGAAACCCAGGTTCCCCATGTGGTCTCCATAGGAAGGGATGTCATCCTCTTCCCAATTCAGGGATGAAGTGCTGGCACCCTATTCTGTTGCCCTTCTCTGATACCATACTTGTGAGCCGGTTGAGGTACCTCATTTTGTAGCCTTGTGAGGATGGAAATCTTGACCCCACACTCTTCCTTTTGCGGGTCAGATTGGGGCCACAGTTGTGTCTGTGGTGTTTGTCTGGAGTAGAGCAGTAAATGTTAACTTTTCTGTCTTGCTGGTCTGCCTCTTTTCTGGTC